CGGAAATCTTGTACCCGATAAATTCTGAGGGGCGTTTATCAAACCACTCACCAAAGCCAGGCCCGAGGAAGACCGCCTTCATATCAAAATCAACAATGGCGATTGCTTCTTCAATCGCATTGATCAGGGTTTGGAAGTGCTCTGTTGTTCTGTGCAATTCGCGCCAGTACCCTGTCATGCGCCGCGTGAGTGAAACCCAGTCGCGGGTGACATCGCCGAATTCATCCAGCGAAACAGGGACAGGCTCGATGATCGTGTCCAGATCGTCAAAAACAGTGAGCGCCTGGGATCGCAGATCCCACAAGGGATCGATGCCTTTTTTGAAATTCTTCAAAGCAAAGTAGGCAACCGGCAGAGTCGCCGCCACTAACGCAAGCCAGACAAGAAAAATTCCCGCGCCCGCGCCGCCATATGCTTGCTCTACATAAAGGATCAGTACAGAGCTCACCGTCATCGGCAGCACGACACCGAGTGCAAATACTTTTACCCGAAGAGAGAGGAAATGGGTTTTGAAACCACGGGGACCGAAAAACTGACCCACAATATCCGCGAAGACGTAGAGGGCAATGAGCATCATAATGGAGGCCGGAGCAGCGACGCCCATAATTGCAAATAGATGATCACCGAGAGAAATGCTGCGGCCCAACTGTTGGCTCAAACTGAAGTTCACAACAAGCGGCGCGGCTGCTGCATAGGGCAGATAGAAACCTGCAAACAAATAGGGGAAGCGGGCGACGCGGTGTTCCGCCTCTTCGCGAGATCGTTCGTCGGGAGCACCGGCCAGCTCCACCGTCTTGCGCATAAATCTGTCGTGAGCCGTATAGCTGAGCGCAATACCGATCACCGCATACACACTCACCAGATGTTGGAGAGTTTGCATCAATTGCCCAAGGGTATACTCGCCCAGAAAACTGACAACGGCAAAAGTGATTGCGAGCGGCATGATCCACGCAGCCACTAGCCCGGACCGAAATCGGTACAGGTATTCAGAGTCGGTCATTTGAGTTTCAGATGCCATCTAATATGCGGATCTCACCAAGAAAACATGCTGGGTTTCACCTAGCCCAACTTTGTCGTCATAGTGAGGCCTGATTGGTTAAATCATGGCTAAGAAAGTATGAATTTCCAATGGGTTGCCATTGGCGTGGCGCCAATCAGGCTACAGCTTCGATGCTCTAAGTCTGAGAGCGTTAACAATTACACTGACTGAACTTAAGGACATTGCTGCAGCTGCCAGCATCGGGCTCAGCTGCATGCTCAGAATGGGGTAGAGCACACCTGCTGCCAGAGGCACGCCTAATGCATTGTAAGCGAATGCAAAGAGGATATTTTGACGAATATTTCGCCCGGTTTGATGAGCGAGCTTCCTAGCTCTGACCAGCGCTGACAGGTCTCCCCCTACCAAGGTAATACCTGCGGTCTCCATCGCGAGGTCTGTGCCTGTTCCCATTGCAATGCCCACATGAGCGAGCGCAAGGGCCGGGCCATCATTGATGCCATCCCCCACCATTGCAACATGACCGGATCTCGCCAGCCGCTCGATTTCCTGCGCTTTGCCGTCTGGCAATACGGCAGCAATCACCTTTTCAATACCAAGATCGTTGGCCACTTTGTGCGCAGGAGCCTGTGCGTCCCCAGTCAACATGACCAGATCTAGCCCCTGTTTTCGGAGTTCCGCAAGCGTCGCCTTCGCACCTGGTTTGACCGGGTCCACGAATGTTAGCCATCCAGCTGCCACACCATCAATGGCGCCAAAGATCTGCGTCGTGTCACTGATCTTCGTCTGGGGTAGATCAATACCCTGCGAATGCATCAACGCACGATTACCTGCGACAACCTTTTTACCGAGAACCTCTCCGACCATGCCCAAGCCAGGGATCACCTTCACTATTTCTGCGGCAACCAAGGAACACCCTGCTTGTTCCGCTTTTTCAACAATAGCGGCGGCCAAGGGGTGTTCACTCTCTTGCTCAAGACTGGCGAGCAGCGCCAGGAATTCTGTTTCCTCTACTCCAAGGAACGTTTGAATGCCAGTGACACGGGGCTTTCCTTCAGTCAGCGTACCCGTCTTGTCAAGCACCAACACATCCACCTTGGACAGTTCCTCGAGGGCTGCCGCATCACGCACCAAAATGCCGTTGGATGCTGCGCGACCGGTTGCCACCATGATCGACATCGGTGTCGCAAGTCCCAGTGCGCAGGGACAGGCGATGATGAGGACCGATACTGCCGCAATGAGCGCGTGCGTGAAGGCTGGCTCTGGGCCCAACGCCATCCATATGGCGAATGAAAGGGCAGCCACCCCAGCAACCAAAGGCACAAACCAGGCCGCGACTTTGTCGACGAGGGCCTGAACAGGCGCTCTGCTTCGTTGTGCGTCCGCCACCCGCTGGACAATGCGGGAAAGAAGGGTCTCTGAGCCGATTTTTTCAGCCTGCATGATGAGCGATCCCGCACCATTCACCGTCCCAGCAATCAATGCGTCACCTGATGACTTTGCAATGAGATAAGGCTCGCCTGTGATCATCGCTTCATCGATATAGCTTTCACCAAATTCAACACGTCCATCAACTGGCACTTTGGCACCCGGCAGGACACGCAATCGATCGCCAGTAACGACCTCTTCCAGAGCGATCTCCTCTGCGATCTCGCGGTCGCTCCCGCTTGAAAGTCGCAGCGCCGTGGGTGGCGTCAGGTCAAGTAAGGCCCGCAATGCCTTGCCGGTTGCTTCGCGCGCTCGCAATTCCAAGATCTGACCGAGAAGCACCAGGACAATAATCGTCGCCGCTGCTTCGAAATAGACCGCGACCAGCCCGCCTTCATAGAAGCCCTCGGGGAAAATCGACGGCGCCACAGTTGCCACGACGGAGTAGCCATAGGCGGCGCCAGTCCCCAGAGCGATCAAGGTGAACATGTTGAGATTTCCGGTCCTCACCGACTGCAGGCCGCGCTCAAAAAAGGGAAAGCCGCACCATAAGACCACCGGTGTCGCCAGGGCGAGTTGTGTCCACGCCCAGGCTACAGGACCGACGGGCGCCTTAAGCCCAAAGACATGCCCCCCCATCTCGAAGACCAATAGCGGAAGCGCAAAAACAAGTCCGATCCAGAACCGGCGGGTAAAATCAACCAGCTCAGGGTTGGGCCCATCATCAAGAGAGACAGTCTGGGGCTCTAGCGCCATGCCGCAGAGCGGACAGCTATCAGGCCCGTCGGTGATGATCTCGGGGTGCATAGGACAGGTAAAAAGCGCACCTGCAGACGCTGCTTCCAGGGCGGCTGCTTCCGCCGCTGCCTGTGCTTCACCGCTCAAATAGCCATGAGGGTCATTCGCAAACTTTTCGCGGCACGACGCGCCGCAGAAATAATAGCCCTGCCCTTGATGCTGATGCGTATGTCGCGCTGTTTCGCGCGGAACTTCCATGCCGCAGACTGGATCGATCGCCATCTTTGTTTGGGCATCTGCAGTTAGAGAGTTAGACATGAGTCATGGCACCAGATGATTAGATTGCTGGTATTCTCCACCTTCCCCCAAGGGCAAGCTCAAGCCTTTTCTGTTAGACACGCTCTTGACCTTCCCCTTAGGGGAAGCCTCAAGGTGACCGTGAGCCATGCTTACCCAAATTGGAGCCTCTATGATCGGTCGCCGCCTCTTCCTCGCCTCCACGGCCGCCTTGTATGCCGCAGCTCCCAGCCTCGCCAAGGCATTTACCTCCTCAATAGGTGGGACTAGGGAATACACACTCTCGATTGGAGAGATTGGCGTGAACTTCACCGGTTCACCATCGCGCGCACTGGCGGTGAATGGCCAAATACCCGGGCCAGCTCTCCGGTTCGTGGATGGTGAGGACGTCGTGATCCATGTCACCAACAATCTGGATGTCATGTCCTCTATTCACTGGCACGGACTGCTGGTTCCACCCGAGATGGACGGCGTGCCGGGCATCAGCTTTGATGGCATCCCACCCGGCGAAACGTTCACCTATCGCTTTCCCATCCGGCAGGCTGGCACCTATTGGTACCACTCCCATTCTGCTTATCAGGAACAGCAGGGCGTCTATGGTCCGCTCATCATCGAACCGCGTAAGGCCGATCCAGCACCCTTTGACCGCGAGCACACAATTATCCTATCCGACTGGCTCGACACAGATCCTGCCGATGTGCACGCCAACCTCAAATCGATGAGCGATTATTACAATTACGCGCAGCGCACACTGGGTGACTTTTTGGACTTTGCTTCTGACGAAGGTCTGAACCTTGCCACCAACGAACGGCTCGCCTGGGGAAATATGCGTATGACGCCCACCGACCTGTCAGATGTGAGTGGCTATACATTCCTGATGAATGGACAGACCAATGACCGACCTTGGTTTGGCGAAATTAGTCCCGGCGAACGCGTGCGGCTTCGCTTCATCAATGCGGGCGCCATGAGCTATTTCGACATTCGGATTCCCGGTCCCAGAATGACCGTCGTTGAGGCAGACGGTCAGGCGGTCCGACCTGTCCCTGTGGACGAGTTTCGCATTGCGGTCGCTGAAACCTATGACGTGATTGTCGAACCGCAGGACGATAAGGCCTACCAAATCATAGCCGAAGCGCTCGACCGGTCTGGTTTTTCCATTGGTCAACTAGGCGGGCTTCAAGGAGCACCGATGATCCTTCCCTCCCCCCGTCCACGCAGTTTTTTGTCCATGGACGATATGGGAGGCGATCATGGAAATATGAACCATGGAGGCATGCCTGCAGAAATTCAGATAGACCACGCTGCTATGGGCCATTCGATGCCTATGGCAACAGAGATGGACCACGCCGCCATGGGTCACGCGAGCCCCATGGAAATGGCCGCGCCAGCCATCACCCGTGACAATGAACATGTGCCACCGGTCGATGCGCCGGGGGGTGCTCGGGTATTGACCTATCAGGACCTTGTGGCGCTGGAACCGAATGATGACCTGCGGGTGCCAGACAAAGAACTCACCATGACCCTTGGCGGAAATATGGAGCGCTATATCTGGACGCTCAACGGCGACAAGTTTTCTGAAGCAACACCCATCTATCTGGACTATGGCCAGCGGGTTCGCATCACCTATGTGAACGAAACGATGATGAATCATCCCATGCATCTTCACGGCATGTTCGTAGAGCTGGAAAATGGGCAGCCGCCAGAGACACGCCCCCGCAAGCATATTGTCAATGTAGGCCCCGGGCGGCGCTACTCCGTCACATTTACGGCGGACGAAGCCGGTGAGTGGGCCTTCCATTGCCACCTGCTCTACCACATGGCATCGGGCATGATGTCGAAGGTGGTGGTGTCTCGGGTGAATGCGGAGCTCAGCCAATGATCCGCCAACTTATTTGCGCTCTTCTCTTTTTTTTCCCGGCAACAACAGGGATGGCAGCCGACATGGATCGGCTGTTCAAACATGTGGAAGCCGACATTGACGGCAGCAGCTGGGGAGAAGCGAACCGATTGGTGACCTGGGACGCAGAGGCCTGGTATGGCGGTGACACGAACAAGGTCTGGGTCAAAAGTGAGGGCGAGTGGGAAGATGGGACGCTCGAAAGTGCCGAATTCCAACTGCTTGTTTCTCAAATGCTCAACGCGTTCTGGGACGGGCAGATCGGCATCCGCTTTGACCCACAACCCACCTCGCTCGCTTATGGTGTTGTCGGCGTTCATGGACTAGCACCGCAATTCATTGAGACAGACATCGCACTCTTCTTCAGTGAGGATGGCGATGCTCACCTTCGGCTTGAGGGAGACTGGGACATCCACCTTACCCAACGACTGCGCCTGACACCGTTCGTGGAATCCGAACTGTTTTTTCAGGACGTGGATGAGCGCCACAGGGCGCAAGGCCTGGCAACCCTCGAAACAGGCCTGCAGCTGGCCTATGAAATTCGGCGAGAGATCGCACCCTATATTGAGCTGAACTATGAGACGGGTCTTGGCGCCACACGCAGCCTTATGCGACAGGAAGGTGAGGCAGAAGACGCCCTCACCTTAAGAGCCGGGCTCCATTTCTGGTTTAACTAGGCGTCGGCGACGTTCGCCCCGTAGATCCAATCAAAGGGCTTGTTGAGGAGGTCCGGCTTAACCCGTGCCGCAAGCCACATAGGACCGTAGGTTGCAATCTGGCCCGCTGGAGCTCCCTTGTGGAACCTTTTCGCATTGGCACGTGCCGCCATCTGAACTCGGGCGGTTCTCTTTTTGCGCTGTGCCTCATAAGCGGGGAAGGCTTGGGCGGGGTCATCTGCCTTACCCAACTCGGTGGCGAGCACCCAGGCATCTTCAATTGCCATGCACGCACCTTGCGCCATGAAAGGCAGCATCGGATGGCATGCGTCCCCCAAAAGGGTGACCCGCCCTTTGGACCAGGACGGAAGCGGGTCACGGTCAAACAGGGCCCATTTGAAACAGGTGGCTTCATCGGCAGCATCAATCAATTGATGAACGGTTGAGCACCAAAGTGCAAAGTCCCGTTTCAATTCGCTGATGTCCCCGCTCTCAAGCCAGCCTTCCACCTGCCAGTCTTTGCGCTCGACGACACCGACAAAGTTCACAAGCTCACCACCGCGCACATAATAGGTGACTGCGTGTCCCTTCGGCCCCGTCCACACAGTGGCATGCGGTGGAATGAGGCCAGCGGGGAGACTTGCAGTCGGCACAAGCAAGCGCCAAGCGACATTTCCGGTAAAACGCGGAGCGTCTTTGCCAAACAGGCCTTCACGCACGCTTGAGTGGATGCCATCGGCACCAACAAGTGCTGCGCCGCTTATTGAGGTTCCGTCTGACAGACCGGCCGATACTGATCCCGCATTCTCCACGAATTCCGTGAGGGCCTTGCCCAATTGCAGATCGATGTTGGAATTGGCGCTGGCGGCTTCTGCCAATATCCGATGCAGGTCTGCGCGGTGAACATGATAGTACCAGGCGCCATAGCGCGCGCGCGCCGCCTCCCCCAGAGGATTTGAAAAGATGGTGCGGCCCGATTGGCCCAAGCGCAGAGTTGCCGCTTCCGGCCGAAACCCGATACTTTCCAGCTCGGCGCCAAGCCCCAATCTCTCAAGGACATGCGTACCGTTGGCGGCGATTTGAAGCCCTGCGCCCACCTCCCCTAATTCTGATGTGCGGTCGACGACCGCCACTTTCATACCTTGTTGGGCGCAGGCAAGTGCTGCGGTCAACCCACCGATTCCGGCTCCGGCAATCAGAATGTCTGTTGGCTCTGACATGTTTAGTGTCCTGTCACCCTGTCTAATATTTCTCCGGGATCATCCGGCAGATCACCGCCCCGCCAGCATACATGTTGATCGGGCCGAACGAGCAGATAGTCAGAGCCATAGATTGCCTGAATAGCGGGCTCTGTGAGTTGAAGAAGATCAAGCGGGATGTTCTTTTTGGATGCGACTCTTTGCCATTCGGACAGATCCGCGCCGCCAAATGTGACGAGCGTGTACCCCTCACCCAGAAGATCAAAGACGGCTCGCCCATCCTCCAGGAACACGCTGGGCAGTCGTGCACCCGGCCAAGTAGAGGGCACATAGTCTATCAGATCATAGCCTGGCGCGTCGGCCCCTTCCTGGCAAATGACGGGAGAGGCGTCGTAGCGATACCCGATCTCAATTCCCAGAGCCTCATTTTCGGCATTGCCCAATTCCAGGATCTTGTCGCCCACGGCCTGCCGGGTGGCATCTGTATCGACACCTTCCAGATAGGCCATGGCGATTTCGAACCGCACGCCAACATGCCGCTCTGACCCTTGCCGATTTCGCTCGCCGACATGGCGACGTTCAACTTCATAGGAGGCAAGCAGGTCATCACCCACCCACCCTTGCAATGTCGCAGCAAGTTTCCAGCCAAGATCAACCGCGTCGCCCATACCGGTGTTCATGCCATAGCCGCCGGTTGGCACATATTGGTGGGCCGCGTCGCCAGCAAGAAATACCCGACCCTGGCTGTAGCTCTCGGCCAGTAGGAGTTGTGGTGCCCAGGCATTGTGAACCAAGACGTCAAAATCAAAGTCCGTCCCGGCAAACTCCCGGACCAAAGCTTCCGGGTCAATGTCTGCTGTCTCCACGCTGCCAGGCAGTGGCACGTGGAGTGTCCAGATGTCTCTGTCGTTCTGGGCGATGAGGGTGCCTTTGTCAGACTGGTAATGCCAGGCAACGCCCCATCGCTGAAGCACATCCAGTGCTTCTGATTTGAAATGCACCATGTACATATTTGCCACGTCCGGTGTGCCGCTGAGCTCGATGCCCAGCTGTTGTCGTACCTTGGAGTTACCACCGTCGCACCCGGCCAGAAACTGACAGCGCACCTCTTCTTCTTCCTGCGTTTCTGAATTCCGCAATGTGACTGTCACACCTTGGGTATCTTCAACAAAAGACACAAACGCCCAGCCGAAACGGACATCCACCAACGGGTCTTCATCGAGAAAGGACTTCAGGACGGGTTCCAGAACCACCTGCGAGACACGCATGTCTGGTTCCAGCGGCTGCGAGCCATCGTTGACGTAACGGATAATGTCTCGCGCCTGATCCACGTTGGGGTAGGAAAAGCGTGCCAGCTCATGACCGGAGAGATCGGTCATCCAGGATACGTCAAATACGTGGGAGGTCGGCACGGCGGCTTCGCGCATCTTGTCGACCATGCCCAGCCGTCGGAAATGTTCCATGGTGCGGCCATTGGTGATGTCCATCTTGGGGTGCCTGGTTGTTGAGAGATTACGCTCTGCGATCATGCAGCGAATGCCACGGTGGCTGAGCTCACGTGCCAGCATCATGCCGACCGGCCCACCGCCTGCGATCAATACCGGTACTTCCGTCATGCGATATCACTCCCGAATTAATTTGACCATGTGGTCAGTATATATAATAAGATTTGACCATATGGTCAATACATGCCAGAAAGGTGAGGAATTCTGCGGAGAATGTGATGAAACGCGCGCCTTCCACACGGTCCAAAGTCACCAAGCGGGGTATCCTGGATATTGCCCGTCAGCACTTCTCATCGGTCGGGTTTGAAGGCACCTCCACCAGGAGCATTGCGACAGAGGCCGGGATCAATCACTCGCTGATCGTCTACCATTTCAAAAACAAGCTCGGTCTTTGGAAAGCGGTGATGAATGATCTCTTCGCGGCATTCGCCAATCATGCAGCGCGCCATTCTGCATCCAGCGACGATCCGATCGAACTCTTGCGGACGAACATGCATGCCTTTGTTTCCTTTTGTGCCGAAACACCAGAACTCCACAGGATCATGACCATTGAAGGCCGCATGAAAAGCGACCGCCTTACCTGGTTGCTCGACACCTATCTCCAAGACAATTTTGAAACCGTCTGTACACGCATTCGCGCGGGCCAGGCAGACGGCCACGTCCGCCAGGGCAATCCGGCCCAGCTCTATTACGGCGCTATTGGGATTGCTGGGACGCTTGCAACACTTGCGCAGGAATATGAAGCGCTCAGCGGCGAGAGCGCTTCATCTGAAGCGTCCATTGCCTCAGCCAATGAATTGATCGACGCGCTTCTTTTCGTTGACTGACTAATCCGCACCCGCAGGCGCTGCATCTTTCTTCGCCAGAAGCGGAGCAGACACAAGATAGACAGCAAACGCTGCCACCATGCCGGGCAAGCCTTCAAAGACAGCCCCTTGCAAACCATAATGGCGCCAGATGAGCACTGACGCGCAGCCTGCGATGATCATGGCAATGGCCTGTGGCTCGGCAACAGACCGTTTCAACGCCAACAGAATGAGCAGCGGTCCAAAACTCGCCCCCAGAACCGACCAGGCCAAGATCACGAGAGAGAACACGCTCTGACTGCCAGACAAGGCAATGGCGAGGGCGAATGCGGTCATTGCAACCGTTGCACCGCGCAGAAGCGCGGGGCGCTCAAGGTTGGATGGCAGCAGATCATGGGTGAAGGTTGCCGCACAGCTCAACAACAAGGAGTCTGCTGTCGACATGGTCGCAGCAAAAATACCCGCCAGGATGAGGCCGACAAGAAACGCAGGAAGCAAATCCACCGCCATGACAGGCAATACAAGTTCCGGGTCCATCGAGCCGATGTCGCCCAAATGCAACCGCGTCATCAAGCCGACGATAATCGAGATTGCAAAAAAACTTGCATAGAAGCCGTAATACCAGGCGCGCGCTGTACCCATTCGCTCCTGATCTTCCAGCGCCATGAAACGGATCATGATGTGGGGTTGCCCGATCACGCAGGCGCCCGCAAACATCCACCCAACGACAAAGAGAAGCGCTCCGAAGGCGCCGGGCACCAAAAGGTCCCCTGCCGCAAACCAATTGAGATAGTCGGGAATTTCGGTGAGTGCCTGGTAGGACGCGCCAATGCCTCCAAATGATACGAGCGCGACAACCATCAGCAACACCATGGCCACGTACATGACGGTTGACTGCACTGCATCTGTCCAGATGGAGGCACGGAAGCCGCCAACCATGCAATAGCTTGCCACCATGAGGGCCGCGATCACCGCGCCCCACTCAACCGGCCAATCGAGCAGCACTTCCAGTGCTTTGCCGCCAGCACTGAGTTGTGCTGCGGCATAGGCGCCCAGGAAGATGAGGGTCATCAACGACGCCACAAGGCGCAGCCATCGCATTTCTTTGCCCTGCCACGTAGCCAGGGCGCCCGAGAATGTAAGCGCATCACGTGTCTGCGAAACCTCCCGCAATCGGCGATGTACAAAAAGGGATGTCAGATAGTCCCCCAGTATCAGGCCTACCCCCAGCCAGATGACACTCAGGCCCGACACATAGGTAAAGCCCATAATGCCGATGAACATGTATCCGCTATTGTTTGTCGCTACAGCGGACAGACCCACGAGCATCGGAGACACAGTCCGCCCGGCCAGATAATAGTCCCTTGTTGTTCCGTCGCTCCTCCGGCCGGAAAGGAAGCCCACGAGGAGAAAAAGGGCGAGAAAGAGGATGAAGCCAGCCAGCATGTTTGTGCCTTACGTTAAGTGCGTCGAAAAAGACGGTATATGATGTTTGCTACCAAAGGCGCGAGGACAAGAAGCCCAAAAGTCATAATAAGCTGTGGTGACCATTCCGGGACTCCTGCCGCAGCAATAATGGTTGGGAGCAATATGTGCCCGACCACACCGAAGGCAATGCCGCCGGCAACCGCGAGCAGACTAACGCTTGCTTCTCTGCGGGCATTGCGGAAATAGGCAATCGAGATGGGCATGAACAGAACCAGCGAGGTTGCAAGACCTGGGTTGTATTCTCCGTTAGCTACCGCGATCAGGATGTGGAAGACGCCGTTGGTGAACATGAGGCCTGCAGCAGCAAGCCCGACCCAGGGCAGTCGCCGTCCAGCCCAGATCGCGAGCAGGAACGGCACCCATACGGCGAGCGTGTTGATGCGGTAGATCGCGAGATCAGTCAGACGCGGTCCCCCATCCCCATAGCGCGCGGCGAGTTGTGCATTCCCATACTCAATGAAGTAGTAGGAGCGGCCGTAAAGGTCGATCCCGTGCTCTTCAAACTGATGCAGCAGATAGGCGATCAGCAACAGCCAAGCAGCCGTCGCCAGCGGGTCTCTCACACCACCGGCGCTTACACTCACGCCTGAAAAAATCATGAAGACGGCAAAGGCGGCACCGCCGAGCCCGACAAGCACCCATCCTGTTTCAAGCAACGCCACGCCGGTCGCCGTAAAATGGGCGAGCGGAACAAGCAGGATCAACAGAATTGGAATGGCCAGCCGAAAAGGTTCGCGCACGGATGCGTCAGACATAATTCTCCCCCCAGACCTCTGTTGCTCGACCGCACCTAACGCCTCAGAGTGTGACCGTGTCGCATGAAGAGATCAAGAAAGCAGACTTCGCTTTACTCCGCAGCGGCCGATCCCGTCGCCTTGTGGATTTCCATTTTGACAGGCGGTTTTGAGAAAGATGGCTCTGTTGCCGTTAGCTGTGCCAGCGCATGCTCCCTTTCTGCAACCGTAAATTCACCCGTCGTCAGGCAGAATTCGACGAAATTGTCGTTCGGGTCTTTTGTATAAATCGACCGGCACCATTCATGGTCCAGCTCCAAGACATCATATCCCGCATCCAACCATTGCTGCATGCGCATGTTGAAAGCATCCATATCAGGGACGTCAAAGGAGATGTGGTTTATCTGATCAGGCACACCGGCTGCCTTGGAAAGGTTGGTTTCAAACCCTTCCGTCCCGGGCACCTCATGCATCTCCCAGAACGCGATGAATTTGCTGTCATCTTCCATGCGGTAGAAGAAGTGTTTTGCCCACCCACCTTCGGGTACGGGCGCCACTTCAACTTTCACCAGATCAAAACCCATCACTCCCTCATAGAAGTTGTGAATGGCTTTCATGTCTTTCGCGGCGAGTGCCAGATGGTGATATCCCATATGCTCTTTCCTCCGTCTATTTGTCTGTATCGACCATGCTCATCACATCGGAAGACCCATCGCCCTCACCATCATTACCGGGGGGCATGGGTACTTCGACAACGCGTTCTTCTACATCGTCATATTCCAGCCTGAGCGCGCGGCTCATAATCGCGTGCATCTCATACATAGCGGTGATGTAGGTGAGCTCCAGGATTTCCACATCACTAAGATGCTTCTTCAACGCAGCAAATGTGCCGTCTGATACACGGCCATTATCCATGACCATCTCATCTGTGTAGGCGAGGACCGCTCGTTCAACGTCGGAGAAGCAATCCGCCACATGCCAGTGTGGCAACGCTTCGATCTGTTCTTCGGAGAAACCAACATCGCGGCAGGACTTGCAGTGCTGCGAAAAAACGAACTGCGACCCGCGCACATAGCCCGCACGGGTTTGCCCCAACTCACGCAGTTTGGGGCTCAGCTTGCGATTGGGATCCCGATAAAACTGAAAACCTTCTACCGCATGCTTGAAGCAATCAGGCACAAGTGCGAAGACAGTCCACCAGTTGCCGGGGGTGCCGGTTGCTGTGCCTGGATGTTCGACCGGATCGCGATCTTGAAACAAAAGTTGGTAGATCTGATCGATAAACGGATCCGCATCGGCTTTTGCCACTTGCGCCAGTCTCGGCATGGCTCGCTCCCTCACAATTGTCTTTGCCATTTGTAAGATAAACTTACAATATATTCAAGCTACCCACGCGGGGAGAGATATGACGCAGCGGCCCAAAAAGAATATTCCCGTTGGACGCGGCCTGATGACGAGCCTGCTTGAAGGCTTTATGTGGCTCGACCGCGGCCTGCAGCAAAATTTGCAGGCCCACGGGCTTACGAGCGTACGTCGTTTGGAATCGATGGTGTTGGTTTATGTCGCCTCAGGCATCCAACGCCCGAGTGATCTTGCGCGGACGCTTGGCGTCACCCGTCAGTCGATCAACTCAGCCGTGCGGGAGCTGGAGGAGAAAGGACTGATAGAGCTCACACCTGATCCGGCAGATAAACGCTGCAAACTGATCCGATTTTCACGAGAGGGCCGGCCCGTGCACTTAGCCGCCGCGAACATAATGTCGAACCTTGAGGCCGCCTTGATCAAACGCCTTGGGGAACCAACTATCGATGCCTTGCTAGAGGGCCTTACAAAAGAATGGGGCGACGTTCCAAACGTGGCCACTGAAGTAGAGGATGCTGCTTCATAACAATGCAGCTATGATCACTATGGGGGAGTGATCGACCATGGGCACAGCACTCGCTACAGCCAACAGTTTTCTGAGCGATCATTACGTGACACTCAAGTTTGTGCACGTGGTGTTTGCCGCCATATGGGCCTGGAGTACTTCCGTTGCCTATGGCAACTATCTGGTTCCCTTGTTCCGCGATTGGCAAAGAGCCCCGCATGACCCTGAACGCATTCGTCTACGCAACTGGGCGATGGAGCGTTTCGACGATGGCGCAAAGCTTGAGCATATCGCATTCCCTATGTTGCTGATCACTGGACCGCTTCTCATGGTTGCCGGCGGCTGGACTCCGGACAGCGGATGGTTTGCCATGAAGCTTGTCCTGATCGTCCTCGTTTTCCTTCCCATTGAAATTGCTGACTTTCATCTCGCGCATTTTGGCGGCAACAAAGAGCGCCTACGCGCGGCAGGAGATGGGATCGCCTATGAACGGGCGATCCACACGCACTGGTGGTTTCTCATTATCACTACGCCCATCGCTATTGTGTCGATCACCTTCACCTTTTACCTCGCCATCGTAAAGCCATTCTGAGGAGAGATGCGCCCATGACCCACCCGCCGCTGCCAGACGCTGCAACTGTGCGCCCCTTCGCCTACAGCGACGCGCTTATCACTCGCATCTCGCTTGGCCTCTCCGCTTACATCCTTCTGTGTCTCTATCCTGCCTATGGCCTTGTACGCGGCTGGTGGTTGGGTGACTTCTCCTCGTTCTCTGGCGAGGGGTTGAAGGTTGCCGTTGCGACATCAGGCGCGTTTGGCATCTTCGCGCGCTGGACCATGCTCAAGTATTTGCGGATCGGCGGCTAACTGCGAGGCACCTAAGTCAACTGATCAATTTTGAAGGGTGACCGCTCATGGACGGCGCGGGCCGAGAGTGACACACTGCGCGCATTTACACCCCTATTGAGCGCTTTCTTATGAACGATAATACAGATCAATTGTCTGATGCGATTACCGAATTGGTTCCGCCCCTGCTTCATTCGTTGGAAGGGCTTCTGTTTATCGGTCGGCATCTGCACCCACCGCGTCTCGAGGAAGTCGTCAAACATGTCGGGGCGCTCGACAAAGGTGTCGAAGACGCCCTTGTTGCGTTTGAGGCTGCAGACTGGCCTGAGGATTTTCACCCTTTCCGTGACCGTATCGTCACATCATCTACTTCTGTGTTGCGCGCCTATGAAGAATTGCGCGCGGCGCTAGACGATCCAGAGAATGGGATTATGGCCGCCTACCGCGCATTGCGACATTCCTCTCGTGCCCTAGAAGCGCTCTATCCTGTGGCTGCTGTGCTGCCACCGGTCAGTCGGTTCTTTCTGGAAGATGAGCAACGAGACGATGGCAAGCTGTTGCAAGACCTTGCTGCAGAGCGCACCGACGGGGTGAGCGTTGGTGTTCATCATTTTGGCAATGAAAAGAAAGAGCGCGGCGGTTTCTCACTTTATGTGCCGGAAAACTATGATGGCTCGAAAACCTATCCGCTCATGGTTGCGATGCATGGGGGCAGCGGACACGGGCGCGATTTTCTCTGGTCGTGGATCCGAGCGGCACGCAGCCGAGGTGTGATCCTCTTAAGCCCAAGCTCTTCGGACGGCACCTGGTCTCTTATGGGGGAAGACGTGGACAGTCCGAACCTTGAGCGCATGCTCGCCCACGTTACTGAGAACTGGTCAATCGATACGAATAAGCTTCTGCTCACCGGCATGAGCGACGGTGGAACATTCACCTATGTTCAAGGTCTGCAGACCGACTCCAAGTTTACGCACTTGGCTCCCATCTCAGCGAGCTTTCATCCCTTCCTGCTGGAAGTTGTAGATGGTGAGCGGCTCAACGGCCTGCCGATCTATCTCACCCATGGGGCAAAAGACTGGATGTTCCCAATTGACATTGCGCGGACCGCCTATCGCGCCCTCGGAGGAGGCGGTGCGGACATTGTCTATCGAGAGATTGGCGACCTCAGTCACACCTACCCGCGTGAGGAGAATGCCCGCATCTTGGATTGGTTTCTGGACGGCAAACGCCCAGAAGGTGCGTCCTCAGACTAAGCGGACGCGCTCGGACGAGCTGACACAGCCGCGTGCCAGCGCTGCAGATCTGTGTGCTCGTCAGTTGGCGTCACCTTCACCCATTTCGCGAAGTCGACCACAACCTGCGCCGTGATGTCCGCATAGCTATATGTATCAATGGCGACGAACTCGCGGTCTTTGAGGCGAGTGTTGAGCGTGTCCATAAAGACCGTCAACCGGGCGCGGCCCCGCTCAGCCAGTTCCGGGATCTGTGCGTAGTTGTTTGGACCGGTGGTGGCACGGTCCTTCATGCCGGGTGACGAATTGCGAAGCGTTTCGGCCACAGCTGACAGGCCTTCCATCAACATGCGGGATTGCCAGTTTGCCACGAGGCCTTTTTCTTCCGGCGTGACGCCCAGGAGTGGAGGCTGCGGGTAAGCGGCCTCCAGGTAGACCGCGATGCCATCATTCTCAGTCAGGATGGTGCCATCTTCCAGTTTCAGAACCGGAATGGTGCAGGCTGGATTAATTGCTTTGAATTCATCCGTTAGCTGCTCGGCTTTTGCCATATCTACTTGAATAGTCTCAGCCGTAACCCCCTTCTCCGCCATGAATATACGGGCACGGCGCGGGCTGGGTGCGGGTGTGTAATCGTAGAATGTCAGGGCCATCTGAGGCCTCCCTATGCGCTGTTCTTAAAACAGTCTGTTGTCGATTTGGCGAGACTAGCGTGACAGGTCGTGTCAGCCCATCACATTAAGTTGTGGGTCACATAAACCCGGAGACAGTTTCAATATTGAGCTGACCCGCAAGACCCGCGTCCCGGTGCACTTCGATCGCCTGGTATTCTGGAGACATAGTCATTTCAAGCATGGCTTTTCGCGACGGATATTGAACGCAGGCAATCACATCCCAGTCTTCGGCAACCTCGCCGATGAGGGTCAGCGTGACTGCGCCGCCATAAATCATTTTCCCGCCTAAGCCTTTTACGAGCTTAGACACTTCAGCGCCGTACCGTTGATAGGCTTCCACCCCACTAATGTCTGGGTCGCGGCCGTCGGCATATTGCGCCTTATCGTAGAACTTCAGCAGATTGACCATGACAATCGGTCCGTCGACAGACCCACTGGTCCATTCTTTGATCTGCGCTTCATTTGGGCGCATAGCATTTACGACATCCATTTTCCCGCTCCTTCTGCTATCAACATCATTATGAGAATATCTAATTTTGACACTATAGGTGCCATTAGTTATTCTCGTCCATAGCGGTTTTGTCTGCGCTGCCGCAAAAAACCGCTCTGGCCATAGTTTGGGCGCGTTTCCGGACGGATAACCGGATCCACTTATCCTGGAAACGCTTAGGTAGATTGAAGACAGGAGATCCTCAGGTGTCCATCACAGAAGAGAATACCACACAGCAAGTTGATGGTCGGCTGAACCGCAGCACGCGAACGCGTGCGGCAATCGTCGAGGCAATGGTGGAACTTGTTGGCGGAGGGAATGCTGCGCCCACGAGTGAGGATGTGGCTGAGCGAGCAAATGTCGGCCTTCGCACCGTGTTCCGCCATTTTGAGGATATGGAGACGCTCTACCAGGAAGTCGATCAGGTGATAAAGGCTCGGGTGTTTCCTCAGTTTAACCTGGAAACCCTCACCGGACCGCTGGAAGAACGCGCCCGGATGCTGATTGAGCGACGCGCGAATATCTTCACGGCGGTTCATCCCTTTATGACGTGCACCATTGCGCGAAAGTGGAAGTCGCCTTATCTCGCTCGCTCCTATGATGCATTTGCCGAACTTCAACGCACCTTTCTCTTCGACAATCTGCCGGAATTGAAGGAGTTATCGCCTGCGCTTCAACATGCTGCGGACCAGGTGACGTCGTACGAGTCCTGGACCCGGATGAAAGATGTTCAGCAACTGGATGTCACAGACATTATCGAAGCGCAGTTGGCCGGGGTTCTCGCCATCATTCGCGGAGCTTGATTTTTATTCCGCAGAACGGAATTCAACAAATCAGCCGCTGATGGCTTGTCCTCATTCCCCTAAAACCTAAGGCTAAGGATCTGCGCGATCAGCGCGGCGAACGGGAGGGGACCTCGGATGAGCACGAGAGATTTCAAAACACACCTATTAGGTACCGTGACAGCACTCGCATTGGCCCTGTCAGGCCAGGCTGCACACGCCGCTGACACGGAACTATTGTGGGGCGACACCCACCTTCACACGTCCTATTCATTTGACGCCTACCTCAACCGCAACATGACGGCGGATCCTGATACGGCCTATCGCTATGCCAAAGGGCTGCCTGTTGTGAATCCAGGTCACCAGGGCCGCGTACAAATTGACACGCCGCTTGATTTCCTTGTGATTGCCGATCATGCGGTCATGTTGGGTGGGGTGCGCCATATCGTCGACAAAGGCATCCCGACAGAGGGGATGGGCCTCGTTGACCAGGCACGCGCCTGGTATGCGCAACGCTGGCTGCGCGGCGTCGTCGCCGATGATGAAGGCATGGCGGCCTTTGCATCGTTCCTGCCTCAGCCCATGTCGGTTGAAGAAGCCGCCGCCGCCCCGCTGGGAGCGGGCATTCCTGGCTGGCGCGCCATGGCCAGGACAAGCTGGCAAGAAACGATCGCCGTTACCGACAGCCACTACGAGCCTGGGAAGTTCACTTCCTTCATTGGATGGGAATGGAGTTCCATTCCCGCGGGCGCAAACATGCACCGCGTTGTTTTCACCCCGAACGGGGCTGATGTTGCGGGTCAATTTCAGCCATTCTCCACGTCTGACAGCAACTATCCGGAAGATTTGTGGAACTGGCTTGGCGAAACTTCAGAGCGCACCGGCGCAGAGTTTGTGGCAATACCGCACAATTCGAATATCTCCAAAGGTTACATGTTCTCTGAAACGAATCTTCGAAGCGAGCCGATCACTGCGGAAATGGCGGCCACGCGCATGGAATGGGAACCGGTTGCAGAGATCACCCAGTTCAAAGGAGATAGTGAGACCCACCCGTCCCTGTCGCCCGATGATGAGTTCGCAGACTTTGAAACCTATACTCACTACATCCAACAGAACGCGCCTGAATATACACCCGTCGCAGGCGACTATGTTCGCTCCGCCTTGTTGAGCGGCTTGGAGATTGAAAACAAAATCGGCGCCAACCCGTTCGCCTTTGGCGTCATTGGCTCCACAGACAGCCATACTGGTCTTGCGTCAGCGGAAGAACCTAATTTCTGGGGCAAATTCCCGCGCGACACGACACCGTTTGGTAAAACCGCTGGCTGGCGCACAGGCTCCGGCGGAAGTCTTGGTCCAAACGGCTGGTCCATGTCCGCGTCGGGCCTTGCAGCGGTGTGGGCTGAAGAGAATACAAGAGAATCCATCTTCGCAGCCTTTAAGCGTCGCGAAGTCTATGGCACCACGGGCCCACGGATCGCTGTGCGCTTCTTTGGCGGCTGGGACTATGACGTTGCAGCAGCAGAGGCCGGGGACCTTGCCGACATCGGCTATGCCGGTGGTGTGCCCATGGGCGGCGACCTTACCGGTGCGCCGACTGGCCAGGCACCACAGTTCCTTGTCCGCGCGACGAAAGATCCAAAATCTGGCAATCTGGACCGAGTACAGATCGTCAAAGGCTGGCTTGGTGCCGATGGCGAAACACAGGAGCGCGTCTATGACGTTGTCTGGTCAGACGGACGCGTCACTGATGCGAACGGTAAAGTGCAGGCAGTTGGCAACACCGTCGACATCACAACAGGTCGCTATGAAAACACGATTGGTGCTGCAGAACTGTCTGCCGTGTGGGAAGACCCGGACTTCGATGCATCACAGAACGCGTTTTATTATGCACGTGTGCTTGAGATCCCCACACCGCGCCACTCATTGTTTGACGCCCTCGCGCTCGGCATTGATGTGGAAGAGACCAATCACCCGGCGACCATTCAAGAACGCGCTTACTCCTCAGCGATTTGGTACAAGCCTTGATTTTGTGATCGCGCGTTTCCGTTGGTCAAGGGCAGCTCTTTAGCTGCCCTTTTTACTTAGCGTACGGGCTAGGCCACGACCGCGATGAACCGTTCGATACTCCAGAGGGCAGCCAGACTCCCCACCAGATAAGCTGCGGGCCTCGTTACATCGCTTAACCCCCAAGTGCGCGCATCTTCTTTGACAAAAGCGACAGCACGCAAGCCGACAAAAGTGATCGCAACAAGACAGAGAATGAAGGCGATCTGCCCTACCTCAACCCCCAGGTTGAAGAAGAGCAAAGCGAGAGGCACTTCCGTTTGTGGCAGACCAATCTCTCCCAGCACAGCCGCGAACCCAAATCCGTGAAGAAGCCCAAAGCCACTGGATATCAGAATGGGATAGCGCCATGTCAGCGTATCGCGCGCCGGCCGCGCAAGCTCTGCTGCGACAAAAACGATTGAGAGAGCGATGACTGCCTCGAGCGGTGCGACGGGCACGCTCACAATATCAAGCGCTGAAAGCGCCAGAGTTACCGAGTGGGCAAGCGTGAAGCCAGTGACAATGAGCAGCACCCGTCGCGTAGTGCCCGCTAACATCAAGAGACACGCCACAAAGAGCAGATGATCATAGCCGGTCAGAATATGCTCAACACCGAGCTTCAAATATTCGGTTGCAACACTGCCCGCATCTTCTGCGTTGGGAATGCCGATGAGAATAGCGTCGGGCCCGTTCCGGATGACCTGGACCTCTCCGGAGGGGCGAATGACCCGCACCAAAGAGGAGACGGCCGGATTTCCGCGCGGATAGCTGATCGATACGGACAAGGGACCTTCAAGCGCCCGGCAATCATAAAGGCCTTGGCCAATATTGAGAGCAGGACTCGCCGCCGTCTCCGGTGACTGAACGCGCTCGCAAGCGTCCGGCAACGCAATCAAAGGTGCGTTGTTCCGATCAATGGTGGACGGCACGCGCCACTTCAGAAAGACAGCGCCTGTCTCCTTCTCTTCAATTTCAATAAAGAGCGGTCTGCCTTCATGGGCAGATACCGGCGTGCTTAGAAAAACAATGAGGCTGACGAAAACATAGAGAAAGCGGCTCATTCGGGCGTACCCGTACCAAGGTCGATCTCAATGTCATATTCAGCAGCAATATTTGCAATCGCCGCCTCTTTATCGGCTTCCAGCCTCACGCGCCGCGCGTCTTCAGTCACGCGCGTTTTTACATCTTCAAAGTTCGCATCCTGCCCCGGGGACACCGACGTCACCATGACGAGGTGGGCGCCATAGGGGGACTTGAACACGCCCTGCCAGATGCCGTCTTCTGCCGTGAGGGAGAACAACTCCGCTGTCATCTCAGGCCCGAAGTGGCTTGCGATAAAATCGTAGGTCCGTTCCACATAGTTTATGTGGAAGGGAAAGCGGTCTCCCTGACCTGGCGCGCCGGAAAATGGCACCTGCTCAGCATTCAAGCGGTTGAGCGCATCTGCCGCCAGCGCCAACGCCGCATCACCGCGTTTCGCCTTGTCAAAATAGACGTGGGTGAAGGTGATGGAAGGTGCAACGAAATAGTCCTGTTTGTTGGCTTCAAAATGCGCCTGCAGGTCTTCGTCGGTCAGGTCGACAGCTGCGCTTGCAAACCCTTCAGCCAGGAACTCCACCTTCTGGATGAGACGACGTCGGATCACATAATCATCCGCATCAAGCCCGAGCCCGATGCCTTCCCGGTACAGCACTTCTTCGCGCAGGTATTCGTCCACCAGGCGATCAACGTCTTCCTCGCCCAGCGCCTCAAGCCGACGCTCCGCCATCTCGCGATCGAAACTGCGCGTGCGGTACTGGATAAAGGTCAGAATGGTTTCACGGTCGACCCGTATCTCGCTGCTGTCTGCGTCGCTTTCAGCCTGCCCCAAAGCGGAAAACAGGAAGAAAAGCGCAAGGCCTACGATGGCAAAGTGAAAAAGAGGGTCGCGGAAAATTCTGGACATGAAAGCACCTTTTGCGGCGTCTGTTTTGGTCCCATTTTATAGCATAGCGACAGCGGGAATCCCCCTACGTAAGGTGCAATTTTTCCCATTGTCTTTGAAGAGGCTGCGGGTTTTGCCGTGACTGTGAGTTTTGCTGCGACGACGGGGCTTTTGACAGGGCCGACTGTGGCTCCCACACTGGGTCTGGAACGGGGTGGTCTTGTTTCAGGGGGTTCGGGGTGACTGAACAATCAAGTGTTGGGCATTCACGCCCTCAGCTCGCGCGGCGTCTTAATCTGCCGCTGCTCGTGCTCTATGGGCTTGGCGTCACTGTCGGTGCAGGCATCTATGTCCTGATAGGTGAGATTGGTCATTCCGCAGGCGTCTTTTCTCCTTATGCCTTTTTGCTCGCGGCGCTTCTCATCGCGCCAACGACCTACTCCTTTGCCAAGCTGGTCGTTCGCTTCCCGGTGAGCGCCGGCGAGGCCCGTTACGTAGAAGAAGGCTTCCGTCAGAAATGGCTGGCCATCGTCATCGGCTTGCTGGTGGCGTCCGCTGGTATTGTGTCATCGGCGACCATTTCGGTTGGGAGCATTGGCTATGTGCAGGAGTTCATCTCCATCCCCTCACCGCTCCTTGTCACGCTCATCATCGTGGTCTTCACGGGGTTGGCGATCCTCGGCATTCAAGCCTCTGCCATTGCGGCAGCTGTTCTCACGCTCATTGAAGTCGGCGGGCTTCTGCTCATCATCGGCGGGGGATTTATTTCCGATACGCCCGCCATCTGGGAAGGAATGAAAGCGCCGTTCGTCACGTTTGAGTTTCACGCCATTGGCCTTATCGGCGCGTCTGCCGTGCTCGCCTTCTATGCCTTTATCGGCTTTGAGGACATGGTGAATGTGGCTGAAGAAGTGAAAGAGCCTGAAAAGATTTTTCCGCCCGCCATTGCGATCACGCTGCTGGTCACCGTGGTGCTCTATTTTCTAGTGAGTACGATTTCTATCTCGCTGGTGGGCCAAGACGAACTCGGCAAGGCCGGTGCGCCCATTTCCCTCATTGCAGAGAGGACCGGCCTTATCTCGCCCGACTTGTTATCGGGCATTGGGGTGCTGGCAGCGCTCAATGGCATCCTCATCCAGATCATCATGGCGTCGCGGGTGCTCTATGGGCTGTCGCGGCAAGCAGAGATGCCACAGTTCCTCTCTTACGTGCACCCACGAACACACACGCCCATCACTGCGACCGTGATTGTCGCCGCCGTGACGCTGGTGCTGGCTCTCGCCTTTCCCTTGGCGCGGCTGGCAGAAACAACCTCTCAGATCACATTTGTTGTGTTTACGTTGGTGAATGGCGCGCTCATCGCCATCACACTACGGGAGGCGGGATGGAAACTCGGCCAAGTGCCCTCGTTCCAAATCATCGCGATCCCTGCTCTGGGTGCGCTCGGCTCCGTGGCGCTGATGCTGGTCAGTCTGATGTGAAGAAAGTGGCGCACCGGGGAAGATTCGAACTCCCGACCCCTTGATTCGTAGTCAAGTACTCTATCCAGCTGAGCTACCGGTGCGCATTTGGGCGGCAAGGGCAAAAGCCCCAAGATCCGTCCGCCAAGGGTGTTTCCGCCCTTGGGAGCGACACTCATATAGCGATCTTTTGTGCAAGGCAAGGGGGCAGCGGAAATCCGTCGCCCCAACGCTTTTTGTTCGTCAAATTGGCGGGGTTCCAGCGGGTTTTTCGCCACTAACAGACAAAAAAATGCCCCGCGCGGTGTGACGACCGACACGGGGCACCTGAGGAGACGCGTCGATCAAGCTGATCGCCCACCCGCGAGGATCCTCGAAACCGCTCCATCAAGGGTTTCCGCATCTGTGGACAGTCCACGCGATGTATTCAACACACGATCTGCAGCAATACCTGTTTCACCGGCAGCATCACGAACAGCTGATACATTTTCGGAGACGCTTTGCGTACTTTGAGATGCAGCACCAACACTTTGAGCAATTTCATTTGTTGCCGCCTTTTGCTCAGTCACGCTGGTGGAAATTTCATTGGAGACGGTTTCCAATTCTGTGACGATCTTTGTGATGGCTGCAATCGATTCAACACTTTCAGACGTCGAAGATTGGATCGCCTGAATTTGCGTTGAAATCTCCTCCGTCGCTTTGGCGGTCTGCGTTGCAAGAGTCTTCACTTCAGAAGCCACAACGGCGAAGCCCTTACCCGCCTCCCCGGCCGGTGCGGCCTCGATGGTCGCATTCAGCGCAAGCAGGCTGGTCTGGTTGGTAATGTCCTGGATCATCTCAATGATCCCGCCGACCTTGTCTGCCACCTGTGCAAGTTCTTGAAATTTTGCGTTTGCACCTTCTGCTTCAGACGTCGCCGTCCCAATGACTTTTGATGCCGTTTGAGTTTGTCTGGCGATTTCCTTGAATGAATGACTGAGCTCTTCGGTCGCCGCCGCGACCACCCCCAACAATGCCCCTTTGATCTTCATTGGTACCCCCAAAGCCACAAAACTTGCTGGCACAAGCCAGCTCTGTTTCACAGCTACCGACGGCAATTTAGCAAAACCTTACGGGCCACCCGACACAGCTAAATGCCGCAGTTTGCCTACATGTAAAAACTTTAGCTTCAACAAGATTTCGTCTTTGAAACTGACACTTCATCAAATGGTGTATGGCAAAAAAATCTAGTATTTGTGAGGTTTTTCGTAGCGCCAAAGGTTTGTTGTCTCTCCACCTGACATCTCTTTCCTTTCCAAACTGGCAGGGCACATCGGCGTTTCCAACGATCACTCAGACAGGCTCGCTGATAGAAAAACAGGTCGCGCGATTGCGACGGCAATAGCCAGGAGGCCGAACCAACCCTCCTCGTCGGATATTGGAGACGTATTGTGGTCGGTTTAGCGCGCTCAACACTCAGCAAATACCCTGGCATCTCGAAAACACGAAAAAACCGCGCCAAATCTGACGGTAGGAGCAATTTCACCTTTCTCCCAAGGCACTTGCGGCCTAAAATCCCTTTGGTTAAATTGCTTTCGCATCCGCGAAGTACCGTCATGCATGCGGCATGGCAGTTGGTTTGTCGCGCGGCGGCTACAAGAGGGGCATCGAGGCCAATTGAAGGCTGTGCGTTGGAGGAGTCTGATCGGCTCGAAAGACTGATCGTCATTCCCGAAATCCAGTCTGTTTGTTGGATGTTCCTTAAACTAAAGGGTGCGGCTACCAAGCCGCCGAACTGCTGATTTCCTGAGGATTTCACTCAGAAACCAGCCATACAACGGGTGTGGATTTAAAAAATCATGTCGAGTCAGATTGGACCTAAAAGCCTTCGCCTTCTGGCCCTTAGTGCGATGCTCGCGCTCGGCGGCTGCGCCTTTGCCGACGAGGTCATCTGGCCGACCGTCGCTGGCGATGAAGCTAAAACGGGGGCAAATGCTGCCCCAGCGCTAGGAACCAGCACCGCTGCTGGCTTGACTGTCACCCCCGGACAGGCGACCGGAACGCCCGTCGGCGCCCGCGTTGGGCAACTTCGCGGTGATTTGGGACGGCTTCAGACAGCCATGAACACCCGCTCTGCTGAGCTAGAGAGCATCCGCTCCCAGACCAGCACCCATGCCAGCGCCTATCACGCAAGCAAGGCCGGGATTGAAGCCAAACTGCAGGTTGGTACCACGCCAGGCAATCCGAACCTTGTGTCCGCGTGGAACCAGACCCAGGCAGAGCTCGATCAGATGGCCCGCGACATCAACAATATGACAGCGCTCTCGACAGCTATCGCAGGTGACGCGTCAACGGCGACCTATCTGCTGGATACGATCCAGGCAACCTTCGGGCTGTCTGGCGCGGTGGACGCTGACCATGTTCAGCTCGAAACGCTTCAGGATAACACCAAGCAGACGATCGTTGTGATCAACAGCCTGCTCACCGAATTGCGGGAAGACACGGCACGGCAGACGACCTATCTCGCCAATGAGCGTGCAGCGCTGAATACACTTTCCAATGCGATCAAACGCGGTCAGATTTATGGTGGTGGCCTTCCCGTGTCGCAGACACCATCGGCAGCGCCAAGCCTTGCCGCTGCGCCGCGCGCCGCGGGCGAGGTTCCCGGCACACCACCGCTCGTGACCATTCGTTTTGACCGCCCGGGCGTTGAATATGAGCGCTCGCTCTACACGGCCCTCTCCCCGGCACTTGAGCTTCGCCCAGGTGCTGAGTTCACAGTTCTTGCGGTTTCACCAGCGGGTGGGACAGCAGCAAATGTTCAGCTGGCGCAATCCCAGTCTCGCGAAAACGCAGAGCGGGTCTTTCGCTCTATGAGCGACATGGGCCTGCCCCCTGATCGGGTTCAGCTGTCGGCAACAACCAGCGCTGGTGTGTCCTCCAACGAAGTGCGCATCTACGTTCGCTAAGTCGCATTACATAGTCTTTCAAAAGCCCTGCTCTCACGAGCGGGGCTTTTATTTCGCGGCATCTCGATAGCCGACCATGTCGCCCAAGGTCTCGGCCTCAAAGACACCGCGTGCAATGGCGCGAGCAACACAATCACCCGCGTAGGTACCGACTTCGGAGAGATGCCGTACACGCATGTCATCGCCCAAAGCATTCGAGAGTCTGCTTCAGCCCCAAAAAATATGGGAACATAGTGCCAGAACTTTTGGGGTTCAAACATGGCGGGTTTTGCCCACTTCTCCAAAAATGCTGCTCAACATGTTGGACCTCAAGAGTGCATGCTTTTTCCAGATCCCCAGCGAAGCCAGAGGGAAACCACAATGCTTGGGGTTTCATCGTTTGGAGTGTGCGAGCATCCAACCATCTGATCGTGGAAAATCACTTGTACCGATTGGTCAGCCGCGCTGAACTAGGGCGCAGGCCCTTTGGACAGTGAATAGCTCCTGCAGTGCTTTCTGGGCTGCATTTGGGTATGGCTCTAAACTAAATGAGGGAACCCCCAAACTGAAGTCTGCTCAAAACCACCGCAAACAAGGAGGGCCGTGGCAAGCACCCACACACACACACACACACACACAGAGTTTTGGGTCTTGTTTTGGGGAACCCACTTCTAGTTCTAAGGGCAAACGAATGCTCTCGGACTGATCCCAAGGACCGTACTAAGGGCTGGTTTCCTTTTTCCAGCAACAGGATCCTTGTTGTGGGGTTCCTCTGATTAGCAGGGTCCTCCGGATTAATCCGAGTTGAAAGGGAGCAACATTTTGGGGGGAGCTTTCGGTTTGGAAAGGGCACCGAGATTCAAAAAAGTCATCCAAGGACTCCTTTCCAAACGAGATTTCAAATTGCTGGTGATGTCTCTCACAAATCGCGGCGCAAACCAGCGCCTGGGATCGCCGTGCCGGCACAACGCGCCTGAACCCGTGCTACATGTGGCTGTCTTGCACATGGCTGTGACTCTACAAAATGTACTCCAGAAATGCGGAAAGCAACGCATCCGCTGTGCTCTGCCTCTCTCACAGTCCTGTGGCCCTCACGTTTTGGAAATGTGTCAAAACTGGAGGCCTCTCCAAACCGGCGGTTTTGTTTTTCATACGGATGCCTATTGACCCCGAGCCCAAATAAATGCACCTCACGTTGGGAAGGGCTTGCTGAGCCGCGTGCGGCTCCGATCGAAACTCCAGGACCAGGATCTCCTTGACCTTCGGGGGAGCTTCCAGACTGCGAAACGGAACTTGCCGGCTCTGTGCCCCGCCTCGGGCGGTCGGCCGACACCCGGCCGACTGACACCCGGCCGACTGCCACCCGGCAGCACACGATACTTCGGACCTCCGCATGAGCTGGGAATCATCTCTGCAGGCCATGGTCATAATTCCCTTCAATCCCTTCAAATCCTTTTGGCGGCTGTTGAACCCCCAATCAAAGGATCCATGACCATCCCAGCTGCCAAAGCAAGTGATGGGTCTTTGACTTCCCCTCGTGCCTGTCTTCTTCACTGCCTTATCCGCAAGCTCTGCCTGCAATCCAAAACAAGCCCCGCGCGATGCGTCGTTTTGAATTGACAAAATCGCACCTCGCACACCTTTGGAGCCACGGGAGCGCTTGGATAACCGGCACCTGAAGGCCTGGTGTCGCAGTCGAAGAGTTCTCCACAGAAGACAGATCTCGCTAAGGGCAACTCAGATCCGCGCTGACTTGCTTTTGCAGCGGATGGCGGATGCGCTCTTCTGGGCTGATTGCCTAGTTCACAACGGACACCGCAGGTCTTTTGTTCGATCCCCAAAATGGATTTCGGCTTTCTTCCGGGTTCTCTTTCGAACTACAGCACGGGGGGTACTCTGAAAAAACACACGCACATTGACACAGGAGGAGCCTGGAACACCTGGAGCTCGCATGGGCAAGTAGCTCGCCCAGGAAGCGTGGGACTTCAGCCTCGCCCGGAACGCCACGTCACGAACGGCGGACTCCGTTTTGTTCGACACCCTCCTACCCGCTTCCTCTTGAAACCACACGTGGCGCAGCCTCCAACCCTCCAACCCTCACCAGGGGCAAGCAAACTCATACCCTCGGCCCAGCCTGGAAGCTTGAGGCGCCAGGCCTGCACCGCCTACAGGAAATGAGGCTTCGCGGCGAAACAAGCTTGGAGGTGTTCCAAAAGTGCCCACCAGCCAGAACAAGAGCCAAAAATTCAAAAATGCCCCCCTCCCCCCCTCCCCCCCCACAAAAAAAGGGCACGAACAAAACCGGACACCGTGCGTGCGAAAGGGCCCCTGCTTTCCCATGCTTTCTGGACCCTGCCTCGAGCTCCCAGGACCTGGGTCCTGGGAGAAACCAGCAAGCGACCCGCGCCTGTTCTTCCCCAGAACTCTGTTGACCCCGACCGTTGGAAAAGCCATGAACATAGCTACCGCTGGGATCACTGGCTTTGGCCAACTGGCTCTGCTTGTGACCGGTACACGTTTGCAAAATAGAGAAGAATCTCCAGGGTGGTATATTTATACCCCTTCTTCATACCCTGTGGTCCCTTATTCCCAACCCTCTTCCACATTTCTTGGGGACCGAGATGAGTAACGGAGAGCCTTTCAGTCGCATTTAATCCCAACTCCCAGTCCTAGGAAGCTTCTCAGCCAGCGATGCGGGCAAGGTCTTCTTTGGCCTGTCGACTTCATCGATCCCTCGCCAAAACACGCGAGGCGCGTTGTTTGCCGGCCTCGGCTCTGGGCAAGAGCCGCTGGTTCTCAGAGGCGATGCCTGCCGCCCGGGGCGTCAAAGTTGGGTTGGAACCCTTGGCCCCGTGAAACGAAACCGTTACACCGGCACAGCAGGGATCTGGAATTCAACCCCAGGCTGCTGGAAAATCTCACCACGCTTAGGCTATGCGTTTCTGTCAAGGTGCTTTTCAAACTTCGGCCTGTAAGAGAGGCTTCCCGGCCAGGCCGCTGAGCAGCAGCCATTCGCCTCAGTGCCAAACTGGACAAACACCGCGATCTTCTGTTGGGCGGTTTCCTTTTGGGCGTCTTTGTGGGTTGCTTCCAAAAGCACAGGAAACACCTTCCTGTTGGCTTGTCAGAACTCAAACAAGGCACACCCATCTGGCCTCTGGAGAGCGAGCATGGTGGGTGGTCCGCCTGGCGGAGGCGTGAAGGCGTGAAGGAAAAAAGGCACCGTCGCTGAACAGAAGCTGGGCAAACAAGCACAAAGAAAGCCATTGAAACGAACGTTTAGAAGGTGAATCCACTTGATTGAAAAAACAGAGAAGGCGGACAAGACGACAAACATCATCCGCGAAAACCGCAAGGACAAAGGCAACACACCTCTCAGCCCTTTTGGCAAGGGCGTCTTTGTGCAATCCTTTGCTCGGTTCAGCTGGAGCTGCTTTCTCACATCAAGGCACGATTCTGCCGCCTCCAAAGCCCCAAGCCACAAGCAGGTTGGCGTCACGCGCCACCACAGTTTGGTCTCACACAAACTGCTTCGAACAGCTGCCAGCTTGACTAAACCATGACACGTTAGCAGTTTGCGCGCCGACCATGGACCTGCCATGGTGACTCAGCAAGTAAAGCTGCGAAAATCAAAGCACAGGCTCGGAAACATCTCGAGGGTCGTTAGTCTAAAAGTCATCCGGCCACTCTGCGTGCGCTTTTGAAAGCGACACAACTGAAAATATCACGAAGCAATGGGCAACACGCAGAATGGGCCTGTCTGTGACTGCCTAGGCCTCATCGGTTTCTGATAGCATCTGCTCAGCGCCTTGCTCGATTGCAACTGAAGCAATGATACGCTGGCGGCTTTGCCACCGCGCAATCACAAGCACTGTGGCCACACCTAGCACCATCAAAGCACTCAGAGCGGCGGCGACCACCAGGCCGGTCGAGGGTTCTGACCAAATGGAAGGAACTATGCCGTACAGGCGTTGGTCCAACTTCTCCGCTTCAAACGTCAGAGTTCCAATATCCATGCCTCCTCCTTTTCGCTCAACAGAACCTGGTTTGATGCCATAGCCGTGGGCTTTCATCGTGTTCAACGTTGACTTCACTGTCAAGTAGCCCTGTATCTTGCATTCGTCCTGCAACGCCATGAACAAGCTTTTGTCCAACCAGTTGACTTTCAACACATCTGGAAATGGAGGTTGCACGATTCCCAAAGTGGCACCAGCCAACACACTGGTTCCAAAGAGCTCATGAGAAGGTCTGGCAATACAAAGATGCGGATAATCAGCATGCCATGTCCATTCAAATATTGTTGATGAGCCACACTCGTCCGTGAAGTGGACGTCTGCTGCCATGCTATTCACTCTATCATAGATGGCAAGGGCATCGTCAGTTCCCAGCGAGACGACGAGCCTCCAGGCTGACAAAAAGAGAAGCATCTTCATGGCCATGACAACTGCGCTCAATGGGCGGCGCTACCTTTGACGCAACTGCCTGCAATTGGCTGCGCTGGCAGACTGACAGCGATTCAGCGACTCTCCCTTTCCCACTGTCAAGTTCGGAGTGAGTGAGGACAAGCACGCAAGTCTGTCCGATCTATCAAATCCATGCAAGGATCAATGCAGCCTGTAGAGGCGACACCCTGTGAGAACAAGACGGAACCTGTCTGCCAAGAAAAGACTTCAGCCCTTTTTGAGGCCCGCGACATGCGCTCAGATACACGGGTCCCAAACCCAGGTAACCCTTTTTGACACGCAAGTCAAACCAGGAAGCCCCACCTGCAAACACATGCCAAGACTCGCGGTTTTGGAAACCGCCCATGAGTCGGTCTCCAAATACTCGGGGGGTGGGGATCAAAATGACTTTGGCTCCATTTGGCTCCCCTTTCCCCCAAGGCAGGCCACAGCATCGACCTCCCGAAAACGCCCGCAGCCTCTGTGCTGGGCTTGCCTGCGAGAAGGGCAACCCACGAGTCGACACTCCATGCGCTTATGGGGATCAGCATCCACATGTTTAAGAGGGCTCCGTAAAATTCAACGCCCAGTGCCATTCATGCAAATGCTGCTCCTTGCCTTCGGCAAGCCTTTCCAGCTTCACCTCGGCGAGATGGCGAAATGATTAGAAGCCACATGACTTGCTTGTTCTTATAGGGAAACCGGGAATGAACCCAGGCATCATCCTGCGGTCCACTGATGGCAAGCACCATGGGCTTTATTCCCATCATACCTGCTGAACACCAGCGATTAGCGAGGCTCGAGCTGTGCCACAGCCCAGGCCCAGCGAGACATGCTCATCGTCAGGATCTGCGGCCGGAAATCTCACGCCCAGGCAACTCCGGCTGGGTCCGCCTAGCGAGCCGCCGTCGCTCTCCTCGTCCGAATCATGAAGCACCTGGGCCAAGAAGCTAACGAGCTTTTTCGGCAAAGAAAACACAGATGGTGGCGCTGATCCCGCTCACCCCCTCCCCTTTTGCACAGGGAAACGCCAAGATCTGAGCTCCAAGCTGCAACTCTGACTCCAGCGCACGCTGTGTGTGGCCGAGCAAGCCTGGGGTCCACCAGACTGGCAACCTCAGACGGCAACCCAAAGTACTTGGACACGAAGGATGGGATTGCTGGTGTTTTCCGACCCACAAAAAGAGGGAGGCCCCAACTGGAAGTGCACCCCCCTTCTTCCATGAATGTTCTTGGGAAGACATGCGACACTGCTGTCACAAGCAAGTGTACCTTCTGCGTGGAGTTTCTCCCGGCTCTTTGGGATGGAGAAGATTGGGCGCAAGCATCGCCAATCACCTCCCTCACCAAGCTCTTCACCTCACAAGCACTCAGGCGGACAGGCGGACAGGCGGACAGCTTGCTGTCGGCCTCTGCCCAGGCGCCCAATGCAGGTGCTGTGCCAGGTCTCGCTGGATCCTCACGGCTCGGAACACGTGCACAGTCGCACACCGAACCCGTCACGTACAGCCATTCCCACCCAAGTTGATGACTTTAATTGAATGACAAACAACAAGTCAGATCCCTGGCACCTTGGGTTGTGAAGTGGTTGTGACTGCTCGTGAAAGCAAATGCATCCATTCAGAATTGCTCGTTCCCTCTCATAAAAGCTGGGGTTGCATGTTCCTGTCACCTGTTGCCAAAACCGATTAATCCGGCAACAAGTATAGCAAGTGCTGAGGCGCGAACTGCTTGGCCGCTGCTTGTGGCACATGCCATGGAATGACCTTTTGGATGGCAGTGGTGTGTTTACAAGTAGTTTTCCAAAAAAAAACAAATGGGCGTGATGGATTGGGATGAATCATGCTCGGAGTGTTGAGACCATGCTTGAGCTTCGCAAAATGAGCAATGCAAGCAATGTCTATGCAGGAAGCAAGTGTGGTTTGCAACCATGTGTCGCTCTCATGGCCCATTCTCCAGCTCTTGACATTTTCAGGCTTCCAGCAACGCTCGCATGACACGCGGCGCAAGCTTGAATCCTGGAATCTACAGTACAACTGAGTCCGAGTTCATCTGCGCGAGCCTAGCCCTTCTGTGCGGGCAACATTTACAGGGATCCGAGAATCCAGGCGCGCACGCTCGAAAACCGGGCCAAAAATCAGGTGACACGTTCTCTCTCACACGTACACAGAGGCCTGTGGGCGGGCCAACTGGCTGATATTCCGCACCAGCTCGAGGTCATCCAGCTCACCCAAAACCTCCTCGGGGGTTTGGGCCAGCCGCTCTGAACTGTTGCGAAACATTTGGCCATGGGTCAAATCCCGTACCCCCGGTGAACATCCCACTCCCCACTAAAATAGGTACTAAAATGGTTGGTGCACCTACCCCAAAATGGGATCCCATTGTTTTTTCCCACAGCCATTTGGGTCTCCGCTTTCAAGAGTGTCCACGATCTGGTTGTGTTTTGTTTTCGAACGCTCCTCGACGATCTTGCAGCTCTCCTCTGTGCAGCACACGTCGCCCTTCTTCTCCAGCTGCTTCAAGATGATCTTCGGGGCCACCTCCTGGATCACCTGTCAGATTCACGTCACGTCCTACAAGGAAACGATTTCAGACGACTTCCTGCGAGATCTTTTCTCAAACCGCAGAACAAAAATATCGGGGAACTGAAGGAAGTGAAGGAAGCCTGACCTTCTTCACTGGGCCCAGAGATACGGCCCCCATGATGGCCATTTGCAGCTTCTCGTGGGAGCTGAGATCCTCGAACATGCGGGGCTGGTCAGAGTAGTAGCCCTCGATGGACACGAAGGGCCCGAAGGTCCCGTGGCCGTTCAACATGGCGGAGTAGCACGCCTGACCCGAAATGACATGTTGGACACCTTCCAAAAAATGGTTGGTGATGCCCAAGTAGGATCATGGCTACGGAAAATGGATGCACTCCTGATTCCAATCCAACCATGATTGTCACTTTGAAGGGCACCGACCTAAACCATGTGCCACGAATCCCCCAAAGAAGTTCTTCGTAGCATGCCACCAGCCTGGATGTGGGTCTCGCCGCGCTCGGGCAAGAACAGGGTCTTGTTATACTCTGCCAAGGTGGCGATCATCTTCTGGAGCCGGTCCGCGTGCTCCGGCTTCTTGGAAAGGTCGATGCTCTCAGATGGGTCCTAGTCATCTTTGGCGGCGGTTCTTCTCCGGTTTACCAAACGAAAAGTCTAGAATCTATCCCACACCCCCTCCCTCTGGCAGAAACTAGACCGACTTCTGCTATCCGAGGGGAATCCTTGGTCTGTTCCTTCCATTTTTCCGGATGGTCCTCCTGCACGTTGAACAGGCACCCTTCACCACAATCTCCACGCCAGTAGTGGCTGTCACCCAGGTCGATCTGGTCTCTTGAAGCTTGGCAAAAAAAAGTGTCAGGCAAACAATCCCATTCCGTGCCAGCCCTTGTTGTTTTTAAGGAGTCCAGACAAATTTAAAGGGGCAGAGACCACTGTTTTGTGCGCGTTGCTTGGGGATTTTGGCCCACCTTCTTCTCCAAGACGGCAAAGTCGATGAAGTCCGGGCCCTTCCCGGCCTTGACGCTGGAGATGGTGCTGCAGTTGGGGAACACGGGCCCGGTGTGCACCATGTACACCTGGCTCACCCGACGGGGTGAGAAGAGACCCCCCAGTACGGAATACCCAAATCAACAACTGAGGCCTTGAGTCATCCTTCCCGATTCTTCGCCAGGAAAGTTACAAACACCTCCCTCGCTCTCTCTCTCTGTCTCTCTCGGCGGAGCCTTCTACAGATATTTGGTGTTGTTTATCGGACCCACTAAAAATGGTTGGTTTGCCTTTTGGTGGTCCTTTGCAACCAACCGAAAGGGCCCCCATTTGTCCAACAGGTTTCCGCTGCGTTTTTGGCGCCTGCTTCCCCGTGACCAACTTGTAGGGAAAGTCCAGCAGCGCGTTCCCGGACAGGAACAGGGGCTCCTCTGGGTTTGATTTTTTCTTTGAAGAGTCTTCATAACTTCTCTGCCTCCTTGTGGTGTTTGGAAAGCTACACAAACTCCAAACGGGAAGGCTCCGGCTGCTACCTCCCCAGAACCAGACTCCATGTGGCCATGGTTCAAAACCAATGGCATCCCATTTTGGGGTTTTCGGGGCACCCATTTTAGTACCTAATTGTACCTATTTTAGTGGTTGGATTGAATCGAATGTTCGCTGGGGCTACGGGATTTTGGGTTTTGACCCACTCCGTGGCGCGGGGGCCAGGCGAACCTGAGAAGATCGCCTCCAGCTGGCCCTTCTTGCCATCCACCGGCGCCAACTGGCTCAGGCCCTTCTCCTGTTGAAAGCGTGTCCAACCCCACAGAGGGGCGCCGAAAGAAGACGTGTTTTCAATTATGAAAAGAGAGCGGAGCCCTCTTCAACTGGCAACATGGTGATGTTTCAACTCTCCATTGACATGACACCTGGCCCACAAGAACAACTGATCCAACCCGGACATTTGGTTAAACCCTCCCTCCTTGAGCCACACATTGGCCTTCTCCGCCTGGGTGTCCGTGGGGTCCACCCCGGCCAGCTCGGAGAAGATGGTGTACCAGTCCGACACCGACACAATGCCCTCGTGCACCTGACGAAAAATAATAACATGTTGAAATACTTTCTATGCCAGTCACAGAGCCTGGCTCTGTTCATCTTTCAAGTCCGACTTGAAGGTTGCCAAACTCGAAGCCAAACCGGGGTTTGACCCCAAAGAAAACAGAAAACGTGTAGACCGCTTAGACCATCCTTTGGGCCATGAACGTCGGCCGTGGAAAACGAAGGCGCACCTTGCCGCGCCGCTCAGCCGGCACGTAGCCCCCGGAGATGAAGGTGGCGGTCCGCACACCTCCATCGAAGTCCGAGTACTTGCCCCCCCTGAGCGGGTCCAATGCGTCGAGATGGCTTGGAGGGACATGTTTTAACAAAAGAAACGGCTTGGACGGTGCCTCTTTACGCGCTTCACAAGGAAAGGGGGACCGTGCCTGAGCGGGTAGTTGTTAGCCGAGCCGGGCACATAGATGGGCCCGCCGTTGTCCGTGGTGAACACCACCAGGGTGTTGTCCCACATGCCCTTGGCCTTCAGGGCTTTCGTGAGGTTCCCGATGGTGTCATCCATGTATTTGGTCATGGCCATCAGCAGGCGCCGATTCTCGGAGTCGAACGACTTCCCTCCTTTCGAGATAACATCCTTCTCGATCTGGTCGTAGTAATAGCGCGGCACCTGCAAAGGAGTGTGCAAGAGGTGGAAAGCATGGAACAGGAATAGGGGGTGCTCTACATCGCTAGCGTTGTGGTTCTTGATGATCTCCAGGGAATGATCTTCAAACATCTTCTCTTCATAGCATGATGGTGTTGGCTCGTAGGAGTGCTTGCACGCATCGGTCAGGTCAGCTCCTTTGTATGGGCCCCGGTACGTGGCATTCTCGATCATGAGGTCGTGGAAGGCATTGAGGCAAGGCGTGATTTCGCCGGTCGCCTGGAGATCAGGGCACGAGGCTTGGCACAGCAAGAAGACATTTCACCTCTTTTGGGCTTAGGGAAATATGGCCTTGCCGGCCAGACATTTCTCCATGGCGACACAGGTGGCACCCCGCCTGGATGCCCGTTTTCTTGTTCCAGTAGTCGTTTGCGTGCTGGAAGTACAAGAAGCTGGTCTCGAAGCCGCGGCCAAACGGGGTGTGCTCGGGGGTGGCCATGCCAGCATCCCACTTGCCGGTGTAGTGAGTCCTGCTCACGGGACCCAACCCGAAAAACCTCCTTGGCACCAAGCCATGTTCCACACCCGCTTCTTTCGAAGGGGTTAGCTAATGTTGCAAGAAACGTGGAGGGAGAGGAACCACCAAGCGGAGACAAACCACGAAGCGAGCCTCACATCACTACCGGTTCGTTTGTGACCAATTTCAACGAACCTCGCAGGTCTCCACGCAAGTCCAGGATTCTCAAGCACAGAAAGCGACGCTTTCCCAAAGCCGCCGCCCAGGAAAACATGGCCCTGGGAAATGGAGCGAACCCCATAACCAGGGCCCAACCTATGTTCTAAGCAAACCGAAGAAGGAGACCTATGCCTATCCTATGTCCACTGGTGTCCTGTAGCCGCCTTCCTTCACCTTCACGCCCATGCCCGTCATATTCCGGGGGATCCCCGCGTAGCCGCTGACCGGGTCAGCTCGGTTCTGGGCCGTGACCGCCACGTTCTTCACCAAGACGTGGGGCGCCTGCCGATTGGAACCCCGAAGGGAAAATGCGGACAACTCCCCACTTGGCATCGAAAAGGGTTGGAGTTTTAGAGGGAAACCAAGATAAATGGGGCCCGATTCCCACGAGAAAAGGCGGAGATGATAAAGTGTGAGAAGCTGGCATACGATGAAAGGAATAGATTCCGAATGTCTTACTTTATGTGATCGTTTCTTCTGCAACAATAATGATCATCTTCTCTCTGTCACAGTTCCAGCTCTTTCTATCCTTCACAGATTCCTGCGGATTGAAAAAACAAAATAGAAAAGGTGAAAAAAGTGTTGCAAATATTCTCTCTGTGAGTTAAGTGTCATCATTGTACATTATCATATTGGTTTATTATGAAGTACGCTGTTTTCGATCTATAATCATATTGATAATATTTGCAACTTATTCTTTATTTGTAATTCAGTTGGCCTCCGAATTAGTGGTTTGCCTTTTGGGTCCTGCTTGAAAACCATCGTTTTGAGACAAACGTTTAGGGGGCGGTCGCCCTATCAAACGGTTTGCGAGTCAGTGCAACTCGAGATGGGCTCCCTTTAACTTGAAAACCAAGCCAAAAGGAATACAGTCAAAAGGGCGCCAAACAGAGCACGGCTAAAAGGGCGCCAAACAGCACACGGCCCAAAGGGCGCGCAAACCAACGCGCCAACCCCATGTTCAGATCCCAGCACACACACACACACAGAGCAACGCATTTGTTTCGTGCCTGGCGCCCGGAGAGCAGCGCGGAGCGGGCGGGCCCGCAGATGCGGTAGGCGTAGTGGCGGTCCAGGGCCACGCCCTCCGCCACTAATTGGTCGATCACCGGGGTCTGGACCTCCAGCGCGCCCTGCTTCTCGTCCTAAGACTTGGCGTGGCGATCCATTCGACGACGGTTGCGGACCCAAGGGGAAAAAGGCGAGCTTTTGGGGACGCAATAAAAAATGGTGAGCTTGAAGGCTATGCACAAGGCCTGCAGCAAAAAAAAAGGCGTCCCTTTGGCAGACCGGCATGGTAAATCCCTCCCTGCTGTCTTGGGGCCCTCTTCAGACAATGCTTGAACATTTTAGATGATGGGATTTTCCGCGGGGGGTTCTCATACATCAAAATCAAAGTGGTTGGCCCATTTCAATTTAGTTCGCCGCAACTGCGAGCTATTGCGTGGGAACCCTGTGAAGAATTTGGTATGCGCAGTTACGGTGTTGGGAAAGGGGCCCTATATGGATTTGTGACATTGCCCCGGGAAGAGGCCCCTGCTCTCCCATCACAGTCCTCCGTCTGAGCTCCAGTACGGTGGTACCCGATGTTCGCCCAGCCCAGGTCATCCGCAAGCAGGAACAGGATGTGGGGTTTGCTCTTGGCCGACGCGAGGCCCAGAGCACAAAAGAAGAGCAAAGACTTGGCCATGTCAGACAGGGTCCGAAAGAAAGCTAAAACGTTTGAGCTGATGCTGATGGCAACGAAAAGTGCACATGAGGCAATGATAAAACTCGCCACGTGCGTGGAACCCCACACGCTTATAAACAAAACGCAAGGAGCGCGCAAGCTACGTATTGCAAAATATGTTTTGTTTACCAAATTGGCTGAAAAATATGCGTTTGTCAATTTCGCCAGCCTATTCCTCGAAGGCTTCTTCTGCTGGCCTGCACTGCTTGCATTGCAGACTCGCATAAAGAACTTGTTCAAGCAAAGTGCTCAGAAGGCTTGAATAAAGAATTTGCTCAAAGAAACTTGAAGAAGCTCTTTTCTAACTGGGATCGGAAAACTGGATCCCAATTTCAATTTGGTTTTCAACGCCTAAATTTGAAGTTTGTCTTGCTTGACATTAGCGACGCTCAAACTCTGCTGCCGCTTCATTTCTGGGGGCGCCTTTCAAGCTGCTGACACAAATTGAATTGACGACGCCTTCCACGACGGGCCGGAGCGTGACGCTCCAAATGGGCGCGGCGCTTGAAAAGGCGCAGGTCCCTTGCTTCAGGCCATTTAAAATATGAGAGCAGAATGGACAAAGAAACGGACCACGGCCGACGGCTCAGACAAGCTGTCGCTTGAATGCGTCTGCTGGTGAATGGGCGGAAAACTCCACAAGCGGGCCCGTGTCTTGAAACATGTTGAGCACACCAATCGCAGAAAAACAATTGTCAAGTCCTGTGGTGTAGTATTCCGCCAAAAAAAACATGTAAACAGCTGTTGTTTGGCTCAGGCAGCACCAATTCCTGGCCTTAGCTCCTTATCCGAGTTCTTCCCTACACGGGCCGCATACGCACCAAGCTCCGGGGTTCCGAAGAATGGATCACTATTTAATTTCAAGGGAAACCCAAAAATATGGAGACAAATGCAGATCTGAAGCAGAAGGAGGCCATTTCCATTGGACTTTGGTTGTGCCTCAATGCGCGGCAAGTGGCTTAAGAGCTGGTTTTAAAAAAACTGGGTCCGACATAAGAGAGCCCCCAACATTTCTACACACTGCCATATTTCCCCCATGTCGCCTTCAGCACAGTCACCGGTCGACAAAAAGGAGAGTCCGCGCGAAGCAACAAAAAAACAACAAGCAAACAAATTCCCCTAATTATCCCGCAGTCCAAGGACGCAGGGACAAGGCCAGGTACAAAGAAGCCACTACTTTCCTCAAGAGGAAGTACCACTGTTGGCCGGGATCAGTTGTCGTACAACAGTATGTGCATTCTTTGGAAGCTCTCTATCCCGGATTGAAACAAAGGTCCAGCCCATGCCACTCCATGCTTTTGCAGAAAGACACAACCGCTGACTTGGGCCCAGAACGCGCGAGCCGCTTTAGGACGGCTACTGGCATTTTGCTGTATGTAAGCGAGGGACGCCCAGATTTACATTACGCAATCAAAGCCCTGTCCTCATGGATGGTTCGTCCTACAGAACGCATTACGGGGTCGAATTGCGACATTTTCCGCAAGGCACAAGCTTGGTAACTTGCGAAAGCGAGTTCGTCGCAGCAGTTGGAGGATGCTCTGAGGGCTCTTTGTAGCCCAACTTCTCCAATTCTTGATGCCCCACTACATCCGCGTCAACCTCAGATTCGACTCATCCAGCGTGAAGGCGCTGCTCAATAAGCAAGGATGTGGCCGTGGAAAGGAGTCGTTTCAGTCAGTGCACACGCAAGATAATTGCGCGGATATTTTTACCAAGCCCCTTTCAGTTTATCGGATGCGCTATCTATGCTTTCTGTGTTGCACAATTCCTTGACTTGATGCACCTGCTGGTTCCACTGCGGCCAAGTTGGCAGAAAGAGATTGGCGGTTGAATGCATGCTCACAGACTTTCAAACGCGTGGAATGCCAATGGGCAACCAGCCTGCACGTTTGAAAATCCCCCTCAGATAAGGTCAAAGGCAGCACGCGTACCGCTTGCCGCAGCTTGGGGAGAAGGAACGCTTGTGGGCCCAGAACATACCAGTTTCGCGCGGTGCGGCCACAGCCCTTCTTGCAAGGGTTTTCAGCTTGCTTCAATATGCAGCAAAACCTTGCGGAGCTTTGTGGCTCGAAAAGCCTGATAAGTGCTTTCTAAGCGCAACGGTAACTTAGAGCAGAAGGTTGGGTTGGAAATTCTTTGGCCTCTGCTGCATGTGAGCCTTGGGTTGAACCTCCGTCAATCCTGCGCCGGCAACAGGATTGCCCCAATGCAGCACGAGCAGCTCGGGCTTGGAACTGTTCTTGCCCAACCTCACGCTCGTGATGGAGTCGGCCCCGCTGTAGAGCTTCCGGGTCCGGCACGTCGATGACGGCAAAACTTGTTCGAGCAAGTTCCCTTGCCCCAGGGCTCCGAACTAGTTTGAACAAGTTCTGCAACCCTGGTTGTAACTAGTTTGAACCAGAACCTGCCCGTGTTGGCCCTTGCGCAGCTCGGCCCGCTGCTGCCGCAGCTTGCTCAATTCTTCGTAAAGCCAGGTTCTAAAGCGTGTGGAAACTTGGCCCCTGCTTTGGTGGCCACAAATCTATCCACAAGCGGCCCGCCAGAACGGGCCTCCCCCAGCATGATCAGGCTGTAAAGAAGAACAAGGAGCAACAGAAAGCAGCAAGGCGGCACAAGTCGCGCTTGATGAAGGCAGAGGCGGACGTGTCCTGGTTTGTTTGCTGTTCAGCGCGCCGACTTCCAGGTGTTTGCAAAGGAGCAGGAAGAAGCTGAGAAGTTTGTACAGGGCCAAGGGGAACAGAACTTCTTAAACGCCTAGCTCGTGCTGGGGTTGTGCGTTTTAGTGCCGCGAGCGCAGCTACAGTGTGTGTCTGCAAGAGCTCGTGTGTTTTGTGTCTTCTGTTGCAAGTAGTAAGGAACATAGGCCTATACTACCCTTTTATTTTCGTTTTGAGTCGAAAAACCCTGCAAAAATTCTCCATCCTGCTGAACGTTTTTCCGATGTCACCGGTCGATGTCACCGCTCCGTTTTGGGTCGAAAAAGTGCTCAAAACGGCCAACTTCCCGAATTCCCGAAAAGCTCGTTTTTTCCTGTCAGACGGCAAGCGAGGTGCCTCAGCCTCTAGATTTGCTCGGTTTCGGCGAAAACAGCCTCCAGACGGTCCAGACGCGCACGCTGCTCTCGATTTCCGGAAAGCTGGCAACTTCCATCCCGCTGAGCTTGTCACCACTTGTCACCGCTACGTCACCGCTCCCTTTTGGGTCGAAAAAGTGCGCAAAAACGGTCAAGTTCCCGACTTCCCGAAAGACTTCGTTCTTCACACAATTTTCGTTTTTTGCCCAAGCACGGCCTGCCGAGGCCCTCGCTCATGACCCGACAACCTGCCGAACTTGTCACCGCCTTCGTCACCGGGTCTAACGCGCCAACCTACCGAACGTCCAGAGGGACTTCCAGGGCTTGAAATCTTGGCAAGTTTGAGTCAATATTGAATCGGCTTAAACAATATTGGTTCATTAATGGGCAAAGGTTGCCCGGTCGCTGGCGGGATTCGAGCCCCAGACCAGGGTGGGCAGAGACTGCGCTTAACCACTGAGACAAGGGAGCTTCTTTTCGGGAAAAAGCAGCCAGCCGAGCTGTCACCGCTTGTCACCGCCTGTCACTGCTTGTCACCGGGGCGCTTTTGGGTGGAAAAAGCAGCCCGCCGAACCGACCGCGACTCGAGGTGTCCCACAGTCCGTGTCACCCCGCGACACAAGCTTTCGTAATCTTCCAAGCTGCAAAGCGAGGCCGGCTCCGCGGCTTCGGTCTAAAAGCGAGGCCGGAACTCTTTCCACCGAGGTCGGAATTCCGACTTCGCTCTCCCACCGAGGTCGGAATTCCGACTTCGCTCCAAGCTTCCGATTTTGCCCGAAAAACCCATCAGGCCGTTGTGGGCGAAATTTTCGGCGATCTGTCCCGAAATTTTCGAGCGTCGTGCGCAGGTCAGGGGTGGTATCACGACCTGGACCAGGGAACTTGAATTGAAGGATATTTTCCCTCAATTACTTCCTGGCCCAAAGCGACTCAAGGGGTTGTTGCGAAATTACAAGGACGCTACAAGTGCGTAGCGACTTTCCTCACTCCTAAGAAAACATGTTTGAAGGACCTGTCACGGGCAACATCCCGGAGGTCCTGGACAACGGAGAGGTAACTGACGGCACCGCAGGGCAGCTGGCCCTGCCTCTGACGCCCTACACACAGGTGGCAGACCTGGCCGTGAACACGGCAGCCTCCAGCAACAACGCAGCCGCCATCCCTGGACGACCGAATCAGCGCAGAGCTGGCCTCGAAGCTGGACAGCAGCGCACTGGCGCCGGCAATCGGTCCTCTGGCCACGGCAGCAGCCCTGGCCACCACAGACGGGCAGGTGGCTGCGCACGGAAGCAGCATTGCAGCGCTGCAGAGCTTGCTGACCACAGTCTCTCCAACAAGGCTGACCAGTCGGCCTTCGAAGCGCTGGAGGGCGTGGCGGCCACGAAGCGTGGACCTGAAGCTGTCGAACTACAGCACCACGGCAGCCATGAATGCTCCATCGCCTCGGCCAACAACGCCACGCTGGCCACAGTGGCAGCCAACTACGGCCTCAAGACGGTGGACCAGCACTCCCTCGACATCGCAGCAAGGATCACGCCGCTGGAGGTCGACACCAAGGTGGCCAACGCTCTCCTGGGCGTCGTCACCGCCGCAGCGCTGGCCTCCAAGCTCGCAAGGCGAGACGCCTCCATCTTGGGGCTGCAGGCTTCCAAGGCAGACGCCGGCGCGCTGACTGCGTACGCCCTGCAGTCGACACTTCCTCGGAGGTGGACTTGAAGATAGCAGCCCCCCTCCTAGACGCAGTCACCACGGCAGTTCTCGACGCCGCCCTTGCCGGCAAGGCGGACGCAAGCGCGCTGGCCGCCCTGCTCTCCACGCTAAACGGGTTGGACACGCCGCTGGAGGTAGACACCAAGATAGCAAATGCCCTGCTGGGTCTCGCCACCGAGGCCTTCGTCGCAGCGCAGCTTGCTAGCCGGGACGCCAGCATCTC